ACGGAGTCTGCGAAGCTGTATTTTAAGGGTAATGACCCCCTGCCCACGCTCAACCTTGCACACTCAGATTTAGCGTTCCCACGATCTCGGGTGTTACCTATGGCCTCATGAAAGTTTTGGGGGGTAACTTGTTGTCCCAGGAACTACAGAAGCCAGGAAGCTGAAATTTATGAGTATGTTCCTTACCCACACTTGACTTAGAAAATTTAAATTCAGCCTTTTCGCGCTCTCGGGTATCACCTGCGGCCTCGTGAAAATTTTTTCGAATAAATTACTATCTTGGGAACTACGGAATCTAAGAAGCTAAAATTTTAGAGTAATAATTCTCTGCCCACATGCGACCTCGCAAATTCAAATTCAGTGTTCTTATGCTCTCGGGCTGCGGCTTTGTGAAAACTATGGCGAGGAAATTATTATCTCGGAAACCATAAAAGCTAGGAATCTGAAATTTTTTGGTGATCTCTTCTACAAACGTACGACTTTGGAAGTTCAGACTCAGCCTTTACGTACCCCTGGGTACCACATACAGCCCCGTGAAAGTTCTGATAGAGAAATTGTTCTCTCGTGTGCGTGAAATTTTTAGTGGAAAATTCCGCAACTTAAGAATCAGACAGCATTTCAGCTATTTTTGCACAGACCAAAGTGCAAAGCAGCCAAAATCTTTAGCAGGCAATCGTTCGGTGAACGGAATTGCAAAAAACGCAGCAGCTGCGTTGGTCCGCGCCGCTATTCTTGACTGTTTTGGTGATGTTTTAAATCGATGAGAAAAAATTTGACCATGGGTTTGTGTTCATGAGCGGAGTTGTTCTCGTGGATCTTGTGGAGCTTTGTTAAGTGCACTTTGTGAACTTATTAAACCTGCTTTGGTAATTTGAACAGCTGCTATTTAATCGTTATATTCCTTCTGGGCACTGGTGCATCTATAAATCTGTCAGTTGTGTTTCATTTAGAGCTTACTGAATACGCTTATTTAATTCTTTATAAACCTTTGAGTGGACTTTCCTGCTTATTTTTTACATTTGGAAATTTTGCTTTTACGAGCTTGTTTTTTATGAAACATTTTACGATTTAACTAAAGGCGTTGGTTATATTGAATTGTGTGATATTTCTTGCAATTTGAACAGACATTTGGTAATATTGTTGCAC